GTTGTGCCATTGTGCACTTCCATGTCCTGCGTGTGTGCTCTTGTCAAAGAGCAATCCTCAATGCTCTGAGAAATGAACTGTAGACCAGAAGATGCCGTTGAGGGATGACATCATTACTGGCATGATAACCAAAGAGCACCTGCTGCTGGTTCTGTAGTACAATTCTGATACACAGTGTCAAACTACATTAACAATTGCCATTGAAACTTTTTCCAAATGGGATTATCTTGTATGGATGTCAGTGGCCTTTGTAACCAAACTACGTGTGTGTGAAAGGAGTAGTGAGAGTGGAAGGTGAACTCTTCGACCGGAACTAGGCTGTGTCGAGGCCTGACTCTATTCCAGTGCTCTTACTGATGCTGGAAAATTGCTAATGGAATTTCACAGCCAGAAAAAGAACTGGGAGGTACAAAATAACTAAATGTTCCTGAAATAAGGAACCACTGATGAAGTTTATATTAACAGAACAACTGAGGTTTACTGTAAGATGTCTTGAGAGCATCTCAAGGAAGAGGTCCAATGTATGCTGAAAACTAAGTATACTAAAACTGAAAGAAAATTAAAATGAGAGCAACTGAAGAGAGAATCAGCTGGTTGTGAGGGGCAGTACCGAGATGGTGTACTGTCATGGAATTATGTCAAAATGTCATGAACAAGTCATGGGGAATTATCCTTGAGAAACTGGGGGAACTCTGGTTATCCCCTTTTATAGTATGCCCATAAGCTCTCTGTATAAAACTAAAGCACTATAGGACGTAAAAGAAACATGAATCTTGTTCTAATAAATATAGTGACCTATAATGCCTTCAGCGGTGTTCAGTACTGTACAGTCGAGTACCTTTTCATTCTGGTATTGTGCTCAGAAGCAAGCAAGAGCAGGTTTCTCACTTTTATTACCAGCAGGACCGTTTGTACCAGAGGACATGAGTGCCAATGAAAAAATCCGTAGAGCTGCCGATTTTATTACTACTTTAGGCAGGATTTTGTTTTTGTTTCATTCTTCTGTTTTGTTAGCACTTTTCGAGGTTCCGTCAGTGACGAACCGGAGTTTTTGTGAGTGTGAGTGTCTGCACGATTACTGTTGCACAGAGAGATGGGAGGGGGAGAGGGACATCAGGAGGCGATAAGTGAGTGTGTGGTGTTTTACTTTTGACTTTTTTATTTCATTTCAGGTTGAAGAAGGGGGTAAAGCGTCTAACTTACAGCACAGACTGCAGCCTGGGGACCAGGTGGTCAACATCAATGATGTGGAGCTGAGTGGCTCACGGCAGGAGGCCGTCTCTCTGGTCAAAGGATCCTACAAGACTCTCAGGCTCACTGTTCGCAGGTATCAAGATCCATCATCTGTTCTGCAGTTGTTATTTTTACACCGACTTTGATTACTGACATATTTTGTTAGAGTGAATACCATAAAATCCCTGGTCCTTTTTGGAAAAATCTGAAAATCTTTCTCTTTTTTTGGGAGGGAATTCTGTTAACATTCACTACTTTAGCATCTTGTAAGACTACAGCAGGTAAGTGTCCTATCTAGGCACCTATCCCCCTTTTCTCATTTCTGTGCTCCAGGTACAGAATTATTTTGCCATCTGACTTTATTGCTGTGAAGGATTTCATGTTTCATGGGCAGCCATATGTTTCTTCAAATGCGTTTCTTTTTCACGTAATCCAGTGCCAGCCCCCAGTACTGTATACCTGAATAATTTCCCCAAAGGACTGTAACCGGTTAAATGGCATCCTCCTGTTTGTGACCTTTCTTATTGTTGGTATGTTATGAGTGTCTTTGGATGCTAAAATTCCTGCTGACCAAGCGAAGAAAACAGAGTGTTTTGGAGGAACCTAGAGGTCAGTTTAGGTGACTAGTCACCAGCAGAGCTTTACAATTTCAGTGGCTCAGTGGGTAGCAAATCTAGCAGTGCCATTCTTTGGAGCAGAGGTAGGAAATCGTGATCCCTGAAGATTGGTGTGCCTGCAGGTTTTCTTGGTCAACAACAGCAAGTGACCAAGCTTGGAAATGCTGTCACATTGGTCCCATTAAGCCGATGCTGAACTCATTTAGGATGCCAAAAGCTGGAGTGAACACCTGGACTTCCAGGACCAGGATTGTCTTCTCCTGCCTTATAGATCCACAACTTCTCCACCCTGATGGTAATAAATCAGTGCATAACATTGACTTTGACCTCACATCACAGGCACCAGCTCCGTGCTCCCTGATATACTAGTCCAGCTCTGATACATTAAAAGCATGTAGATAAGACATTGGCAAGCACAGCTCTGCCCACCACCCTATGTTAGCGAAAGGTTTGAGTTGTAATCTCCTGACAGCTTTCATCTACATTACTCCAGCAGCTCCAGGCAAACCTCTCGACACCCTGTGCGTAAGAAAATAGGATCTGCCGTCTTATACACAGATTTTTGGCCAGCTGGTCACCCTCTTTCGGTTGTCAACACCGCTGATAAGCAGACTTTCAGTCCTGTCTCTCCCTTGTGCACTCTAACTGTATCATCAGAGGCCTGGCATAGTTTGGTTCTGATTCAAAAGGCGTGCTTGTAAAAAGACTTCTATGGAGGCTGCCTACGTTGTATGATACGTGAGATGAACTGCCTGTGAAACAAACAAAAAAAATCCTTAGTTGCTCCTGGATGTAGTGGATGTTGCCCTTAAAGCTACGAGCTATATGACCCTGCAACTCACAACCTACAGCTGGCAGCCCCACTGAAGATCAGCAGGTGTGAGCCTGGCCTGTATCTGGATGGGAAAGCTGAGGTTGCTGCTGGAAGAGGTGTTAGTGGGGCCAGTAGGGGGCGCTCACCCTGCAGTCTATGTGGGTCCTCATGTCCCGGTATAGTGACGGGGACACAAAATGAAAGAATAAAAAGCATTGCTCAAAGAAAGTATTAAATCATAATTAAATGAAAGCATTACATTGATTTAATTAAATGCATTGGCAAGAAGGAAGCCATCACTGACAATAACCCAGCAAACCATTTAGGTGACAATGAAACACATAGATTTCTTGGTCATATGAGATCAAATGAGAACTGTTTGGTCTCAACGCAAAGTTTTCCGTCAAGCACAAGTGCAACACAGCACATCTCCCAGTCTGCACCATTCCTGCTGTCAAGCATAATGATGACAGCATTATTTCACTAGAACATGTCATTACAACATGGAGCAGACACAAACACTAATTAAATAAAAACCTATCTGAAAAAAGCTTTGGGGCACAGCAAGAGAAAGCCTGACTAACTAAGGTTGCGAGGTGGGGAGATAATAAATCAGGAAGGTACTGAGCTTCCAAGCCTTGTAGAGCCTTATACGTGAGCATGAGGATTTTGAGGTCAGCTCGTAATCTGACAGGAAGTCAGTGCAGTGAATCGAAGACAGCCGTGATGTAATCGCTTGCACACAACCTGGGTAGGATTCTGTCTGCCGAATTCTGAGCCATATTGGAGTTTGTTCAGTATGGATTTAGAAACTCCAGCAAGTATGGCGTAGTAGTAATCAATACTAGAAAAGACAACTGTTTTGACCAACTCTCTTGCTACAGTCAAAGACAGCATAAGACATAACTGGCAGTATTTCTGAAATGAAAGAGTGATGTTTTTACAATATTCGACAAATGAGGGTCAAAAGTCAAGTATCAAATATCACCACTGAATATCACCACAGACAGGATAACTGCATTGGTTTTATATAGGCCATAGGAATTTTTGAGTAGCATGACCCCAGTCTTGTCTCTGTTGAAGTTTAAGCAATTTTGAGTCATCCAGGTTTTTATATCAGAGATACCACAAATCACTGTCGGGCTTGAGTATCATCAGTATAGAAATTTTAATTCAGACCTCGTGGTTTTAATACGTGACCAAGTGGAAACACACATATATACTGTATATTGAATAGCAGGGGGCCCAGTATTGAGCCCTGAGGAACACCAGACTTGACAAATCCAACTTCAGAACTAAAACCCACATGAGGAACAAAGTGTCAGCAAACAATAATGTAAGAGTTGAGCCATTTAAGAGTGATGTCAGAAACTCCAAACACAGTCTCAAGGCAAGAGAGTAAAGTGTCATGATTAACTGTGTCAAAAGCATTTAGGTCTAGGAGAAGTAGGAGAGAGAACCAGGATTAGCTGCTGTAAGAAGATCATTACTCAGGTTAACAAGAAGAACGGAGCAATGGTCAAGAATATATGAATAAATAATCCTCCTTCCCTGAGAGAACTGCTCTTTAAAATGTATATATTAGAAGTACTGTATAAAAAAGTCATTGGAGCTGATTGTTGTAGGCAGTTTATTGAGTGACTTAATGAGATTCTGGCATTGACTGGCTTTTTTTCTTGTGTTCTTTTAACTCAGTCCCATTTATTCACTTGCGATACAGCATAAAAAGTTACAGCCTTTAAACACAGCAATTGTTCTTTTCCAGATGAATTGTTTTTATAGAAACTGACCTCCGGGGTCAGACAATGTAGAAAGTGTTCTTAAATGTTTCTCCTATTTCTGTGAAATACAGTGAGAACAAATTGCAGTGTTAGCGCAATTAAAAAACAACAGTGTTGTGCAGTGTTACCAGTATTACATTGCCTTGACTGTTGAAAGTGAGTACACAATGGGTCCTAAAAGACAGTGAAAACGTATATACTTTTGGTACTGAAATTATGTACAGTATATATTATAAATCAAGAGTGACATTACTTAGAGGCTTAAGAGACATGCGGCTACAGTACTGGTACATGAGAGACTCTGATGCCTCTATTTTTCCTTATTACATTAGTTTACTTTCAGCTTCCAATTGTTTTCATGCCTGTTTATGATGCAAGTCCCCAGATTTAAGCGTGATTTGTTCTCTATGTTGCTTGAGTTCCACATGTGAAAACCAAGGGCACAAATGTTAAGAACCAGCTTCTTACCTCACAGACTACAAATGCAGATGCCATGACTCTTTGTAATCACTCAAATGGGGAACTGTCTTAGATTTGAACATTGGACATGAAACCACAACAGTGTTCAGTCCAGAGCCCTTAACCACACCTCCACTTTTATACACTTTCTGATACTTGGCTCCTATTCCTGAGGCTGCCTCAAGACTTTCTCAAGACCAGCATTTTTGACGATGTCAGTGATGTCTCCTCCACTTCGAGGACCATCTGAAGACCATCCGTCTTCGATTTAAGCAGAGGAAGGAGACGTGCAGCTGCCCTGTCAGCTGTAGGCGAGGAGTGTAAATGGGTGGACTCTCCAGGTGCCCTGGGACAGTCTCAGAGGGTTGTTGAAAGAGATATGTAGGGCCGAACTAGAGGGTAGAAACTGCCAACTAACTTCCACAAAAAAGTCTAGACTCATTGCCCACCACCAGCCCTATCCAAGACATGAGATAAAGGATTAATGACTGCTCTGTTGCCCCGTACCCTCATCTTTAATCTCCTTTGCTATACTGACCAACAGATTATCCTTCATACTGCCACAAAAATAAAGACGCCACCTCGTCGTAATCTGTTCTTCTTCCTGGATGGTTCTGCTTTTACTTTTTTAAGAAAGAGTCTCACTCTGTATTTGAAGCCTCTTCTGTAGTTCGGACAGTGCAAGTTTCTCGTGTTGACCCATAAGACAGAAAGACTTCACATGAGTTAGTCAGTCCAGACTTCAGTTAGCAGAAGCAGGGAGATGCATGACATAGCCATAGAGAATTGATGTATTGTTAGAAGACAGCTCCTACTACTTTAATCTTGGATCTCAGACACTGGTGTTGGCTTCCCTCCCCCTTTTATTTTTGACAATGCCCAATGTTTTTCTCTTTGGAACAGAATACAATGAATTGTTCTGTGAGTATATGTTGTGTATTATTGTACTCTACATTTTTTCTGGTATTCCTGAGGGAGTGGGAGCATAATTTCATTCAATTGTGTTCATTTCTATATTATGCATTATAACACCACTACTCTAGAATATCCCACACTCATTGAAGATCATGAGAAAGGCATGTAGGCCCCTTGCTTTTGGCTCTTCAGTGCCATAGGAATAGTTTAGTGTGAGGGTGCTTGCTGCTATATTGTTGCGAGCAATCTAACACACAAGTCCCTTCCTTTTTCCTATGAGTACTTGATATCAATAGTACTTTTATCAGCGTTATGTTGGCAGCTGGATTTACTCATGTCTCTTCTACTGATCACCGACACATTTCCATTATGTATGTCCACCTTCCATGGAGTAACTTGATCTTCCTTCTTTTGTTAACGTTTATAAGTAACGTCTTTTATAACATTATATTTAGGAACGGGTGGCTTGAATTCATCCAGCACAAGAGCTACATCTCCTTTTTTGGTG